GAAAAGGGGAAGGGGAAGGTGCAGTGGTCAGGGCCTGCAGAGTCACAGGGGTGTGGGGGTCCTGGGCCCTGAGCACTGGCTGGCAGTGTGCTGGCAGAGGACGCCATGGTCCGGGAGAGGAGGTGTACCTGGCCGGCCATTCAGTCTTGTTAGGGTCCACAGCCTGCGCTCACGGAAGCGGCAGCGGAGAAGTCAAAAGGCCCATTGCTCCCCAAGACCTCTCTGAGGTGCTGACGTGCAAGGGGCGCACGCTGGGAACGGGGTGCGCCTGACCCACCTTCCCCATGTGCACCTGACAAGTGGATATTGAATATGGAAGGTGCGAAGACTCGATGCATTTAAGTTGTGGTGGCAGAGAAAGCATATTGGACATGCCAGGGACTGCTGAAGGGACAAACAGACCTGTCTGGGAAGAAGTCCGGGCAGAGGGCTTGGAGGCCCGGATGGTGACACTTAATCGCACATGCCTTGGGCGTGTGGTCAGGAGAGACCAGTCCCTGGAGAAAGACATCCTGCTGGGCCCCGGGGAGGGACGGACACCGTGGCCAGTTATCGGCTTGTGCACAGGACAGTCGTGAGGGGTGGCAAGACTGAGCAGTGTGTCCTTCTGTGCGTGGGATCCCAATGGGTCAGAACCAACCCAACGGTGCCTAACAACGTTATTCAGGCCCTGTGCTTCCACCCATTTGTGAAAACAGACCTGCGGCCCTCGGGTGTGTCCACGCTGTCGGAGGGCTCCTCCTTCTCAAGAGTTTGTTGAGGTGGACGACACGGCGCTGCAACAGCGGAGGAGGCCGGGACTGGGCGCGTCTCCTCCTGTTGGCTGTGGGCTGACGTGGGATGGGATCAGCTTGAAGGTACCGGATGACCCCGCAGCAGGGTGCATGTTGACCTTCTGCAGTGCAGCACCTGGTGACAGGAGCCACACTCACGGGCTGTATGGCCATCACCCCTCCCCGCCACCCCCCACCCATGACCTCCAGGGTCCCCTTGTAGTAGCTCCTGCTGCCTGCTCCCCACTACCCTGCACTCTGCATTTGCCTGCTCCGGGTCTGGCCGAATTGGGCCCCGGGTCACGGTTGCTCGTGAGTCTCACTGAGTGGGATCCTAGGGCAGGATGTGGGGTTGCGTTTCTCCATGTGGCAGAGCGGTTCTCCATTGCGTGCAGACCACTTCTGTAGGTGGACACACGGGTGGTGTCATTTTCCAGGCTGAGTAGTACTCCACTGTGCGGAGGACCACGCTGGGCTCATTCATTGTCTGTGGGATAGACACCTGGGTTTTACCACCATCCTCTGGACACGGACAACTTGGCTGCTTCTCTTTACAGCCGAGTGAGCACTCCCTTGTGCGGGTGGGCCACGCGGTGCTGGGCCACACTTGCGTGGCTGTTCGCTGCAAAATCAGCAGTTCAGAACCACCCGCTGCTCCACTTGAGAAATGTGGGGCTTCCCACTCCTGTGAAGTGTGACAGGAGACATCTCTAGAATCCCAGAAAACCACTGGGGATATGCTCACTAAGAATATCGAACACACTCACTCAGGCTCTGTGATGTTTACCACAAGGCCAGGGCCTGCCCACCATGATGGAGGCCCCGAGAACAGGGCCCCAGCTGGGACCCCGACCTCCGGGACTGAGACCTCACCAGGGGGGCATAGCAAAGCCAGTCCCTAGACAGCGTGCCACCCACTGGAAGGGTCCTACCCAGCCACAGGAGGGAACATTTGCAGCCTGTTTGGGGACACCATCCAATCCAATGACCCCTGCTGGTGCAGCGCTAACTGGAAGGCAGGGTCTGACCCCCAGTGGCTTGTGGGGGGAAGGCCGGGTGCCTGTCCCTGAGGACCCATGGGCACTTCCATGTTTACACCTGTCGTTGTGTGTACAAAGCCACCAACTACATGCTCAGCACAGTCCAGTCCACGCACAGTGGGCATGCTCGGCCTTGGTCTCTGTGTCCACAGATCCCGGCGTGTGATGGTCCAGCTCCTGGGCCCTGAGCACTGGCTGCCCAGTCCAGACTTTCCTGCGCTGGACCGCAGGGGTGCTGAGGGGCTTGGCCAGTCGGGGTGGAGTTAGAGCTCTTGTGTCCTCCCCTCATCCACCCACCCACTCACCCACTTACCCGTATACTCACCCACTCATCTTCCCCCTCTGCCTCCTGGAAGCAGGCAGGATGGCAGGGGAGCAGGTCAGGCAGCCTCCTGGGTGGTTTCTGCAGCCTGGAGGCCGAGACACAGCCACCAGGAAAGGGAGACACGGGCCGTGGGCTGAGAAGGGCCAGGCTGTGTCCAGCCTCCTTCCAGAGCCATCGGCCAGGCCTCTGGATTCCCTGACTGGGCGGAGTTGTTGTCCTGTGCAGGTCCTGGTGATGTTGTCATTTACCCCCACTGCCTGGCTGGCGGTTCAAACCCACCAACCGCTGGGGGGAGCAAGATGAGGCTGACTGCTCCTGTTGACATGGTGCGCCCTGGACACCGTGGGTTGGGTCGCTGGGGGGCAGAAGTGATCAGTGGTGGCCTGTGGCCTGGCCGCTCTGGTCCTCACGCCTCCTGGGATTTGCTCCAGGACAGGGGCTCTGGGGTGTGGTCGGGACCGTGCCCTGCCACCCCCTGCACAGGCCCCGTCCTCTCTTGTCACCTTTTCATTGGGATCGAGTGACAACAGCCTGAGCTGCCCTCCCTCCGAAGGAGGGTCTTTTAGTCTGGGGACATGGCCTGCCAGTCTTAAAGTGGCCCAGCCCTCCTGGGTCCCCCACGGGCCCTGCTGCCCCCTCCCCTCTCCCCCACCAGGCTGGTCACCTCCTCCCCGCTGTTCCCGTGCCCAAACCCATGGCCGCAGCTCCTGGGCCAGCCCCGCTCGTCGTGGGTCATTTCTCCTCTTGACGTCCTTTCCCAGGGGCCGGTCTCTCCTGACCACGGTCCAAAGGACAGGAGACAGGCCTCAAGGCCCTTGCCTGAGGGGCTCCCCGCCGAGCTTCCTCCCAGACAGAGTTGGTTGGTGACTATCATTGCCGACACTCGGACAGCAGCTGCGGCCCCCCCTCGCGGAAGCAGATGGTGAAGTGGGCACGCGCTGGGAACGCGCGCTGTCCATCGCTGCAGGCAGGCTGGGCCCCAGAGACTGCTATTGTCCGCCCCGCCAGCTGGGCCAGCCGCGCGCCAGGCTGGGGACTAGAGGACTGCTCAGCTCGCCGCCAGTAAACACCGGCTGTTCCCAGCTTGGCGGCGGAAGTCGGTCTGCCCGCCCCCCTGCGTTTACAAGCAGAGCTCTCTGGGGTTGCCCTCCTGGCTGCCCTCACCTCTGGGCGCTCTTCCCTGCCCTTCCTGCCCAAGCCCCTGATGGGCTTACGTGGCTAAAGGCACCCTGGGGTGCAGGGGGTCAGGCGTGGTGCTGCCAGCCGCAAGGTGGGCAGTTCAAACCCACCGGCCGCTCACTGGGTGGGTGGACCATGAGGTCGTCTCCTCCCACAGAGATCTGGGGTCCCTGCAGCCCTGTGGAGGGTCTCCATGAGTTAAGTCATCGTGGACGGGACGCTGGCAACCTGACTCACCCTGGTGGGGGGCCCATGGGCCAGGTGGCCAGCCATCCAAGGGCTTGGGACCCGTTCTGAGGGGCTAGGGCAGTCACAGAGCCCCAGGGGGTCCCCTGGACTGATGAGGTGGCAGGGGGACTCACGCACGATCCCTGGTGGCCCCGGGGGCTGAGTGCTGGGCAGCTAACTGTGGGGATGGTGCTTCAAGCCACCCCCGTGGTTCCTTGCTCCCGTCTTGTCGTGCAGTGTAAGAAGCCCCGGGGGCCAGGTCTACGAGGTCCTGTGAGGGGGTGGACCGATGACTGCCAGGGAGGTGGCTGAAGACAGACAGACAGACATGTGTCGGCGGGTGAGTCTGTGTCAGGAGCCTCTCCGAGCATGGGTTCATGTCTTGCTCAGCCTTCCCCTCTGTCAGGGAAGCTGCCTGCCCCTATGAGCCTCCGGCCAGGAGGGGCTGGAAGAACGGCTTGGTGGTGGTGATGTTGGTGGGCGGTGGTGAGGTCGGCGGGGTGGTGGTGATGATGTCAGCAGGGGGTTGACGGTGTCATCTGGGGGTGGTGAGGGTGGCAGCAATAGCCGACCCCCAAGGACATGGCAGTTCGTGAGAGAATAGTTGTGCCGCCCGCTGGCCAGGTCTGACTCACTGTGTCCAGGCGTCCACCATAGGCCGAGCTGCCTTCAGGTTCTGTCCTCACTCACGTTCTTGGGGTGTTCACGTCGGTCTAGGGCCCCCCACGTCACTGACCATGCCCATCCCCAGCCGTGCTGTGAGGTGGACGGTCAGTGGCTGGTCCCTCCTGGTGGTGGTTCCTGGGTCTCGCTGGAGTCTTGGCTGGTCTTGGGCTGACATGGATGGGTCTGCTCTCCTGGTGCCTGCCCATGTGGCCAGTGTGCCCCCTGCCCCCCAGCACCACGATTCCCGCGGGGCGTCTATGGTCCCACCTCATGGAGAGTCCGCTGGGCAGGTGGGACATGCTGAGGACAGGTTACCACACTCCCTCGAGTTGGGGCTGACCCACAGAGCCCCCGCAACACAGGGTGGAGCTGCCCCCGTGGGTTTCTGAGATGGCAGCTCTTTATGGGAGTGGGAAGCCTTGCTCACTAGGAGCCGCTGGTGGTTTTGAACAGCCGACCCTGTGTTTGCAGCCATGCACTGGCAGGGCCCCTCCCACAGAGGGCAGTAGACCGAGAGAAGGCTCACTGCAGTCTAGTCTCCTGACTCACGTGGCCCCACAGCACAGGGGAGAACCCTGCCTGTGGGTTTCCAAGGGAGAAACTCTTTGTGGGAGCAGAAAGCCTCATCTTTCTCCTGTGGAGCAGCTGGTGGTTTTGAACTGCGGACCTTGGGCTGAGCAGGCCAGCTTGGCCCCGCAGACTTGGCTGGTGTGCTGATTCTGTAGGAAGCCTCGGGCCCTGCAAGTGGTTAGATGCTCCCCTGCTAATGAGAAGGTCAGAGGGTCACGTCTGCTCAGGAAAGGCCTGGCAGGGGCCTTTCAGAAGAGCCCGCCTTGGGAGCCGGAGTGGGGGCGCCGCTCTGATACAGGGGTCTCCGTGGGTGACAGACAACCTGACAGCACCTCTTCTGCTGCTGAACAAAGCAAACACGTGACTCCGGGCTGCGTGGGTCAGCAATGGCAGGCCCTGGGCCACCGGCACCATCATATCTGCAGCTGGAGCCCTGCGGTGCCCATGCCCGTGCCCGTGTGGGGCACTCCCGGGCTTTCCTTTGTGCCACGCACGACCGTGTAGCTCCAGGGTCAAGCTTACCTCCTGGGAGACCAGCACGCCCTGTGCTTGCCTGACCCAGAGATGTGCCTTCCTTCTGTGGGCAGATGGAGACCGGCTGGGGCACAGAGCCTGGGCACCGTGGGTCCTCTGACCTGGCTGGAGGGCCAGGGGACACCCTGGAGCTCTGGAGCTGCCCTGAGCCCCTCAGAGCGTGTCCTGGGCCCTCAGATGGCCGGCTGCCTGGCCCAAGCCCCCCCACCAGGGTGACTCAGGCTGCCAGTATTCCAGGCAGGCAGGCAGCGAGGTTAGCTAGTGCAGACAGAGCCTGTCTCCCCGCCGCAGGAGCACTGAGCAGGGCTGTGGGCTGAGGGGCTGGGCTCTCCGTTGGTATTTGAGGCCCCAGTAAGATGAAGTCACCTGGGATGGGGAGAGGGGGGAGCGCCCTAGGGGCCCAGGGAAATCAGCCGCCCACACTTTGCCCTGCAGCCTTCCAAACTGGGAAGCGGGGAGGCTGCAGAGGAACCATGTGACCTCTCCACCTCTCCTAGTGCCCTGCAGGAGTCAGAATCCAGCCCCAGCTCTGTCTGGGGAAGTCTCTCTCTGCTCTAAGAGAAAGTTTTCTTACTCAGTTCCTGCACCCCACCCCCGCTCTCTGCCTCTATCGCTCTCTGTCTTGTTTCTTTCTCTCTCTGGGCTCTGAGGGAAGTCTCTCTCATTCTCTCTCATATTCTCTCTCCCTTTCTCCCCCACCCCCCTGGACCCTCTGGGGGAAGGCTTCAGTTTCCTTCTCTCTCTCTCTCTCTCTGGACTCTGGGCTCTGTGCTGCCCAGGGCTCCGGGGCTCCACATGACCTCCTGGTTACCCCTTTGTTTGGGGCTGGGCCTCACCTGCTTCTTTCCTAGGAGGGAGGTATGCCTAACACTCACCTGTTAACGTAGTGACTAGAAGCCCTCTTTCCAAAGGCCCCGTCTCTCCTGAGGCACAATGACCCTATAGGAAGGGGTGCCTGGCCCTGCCGGCTTCCAAGGCCCCCACTCTCCATGGATGCAGACAGCCTGGGGGCCGCTGGGCTCCTCACACACCTGAGGCCAGCAGTCGAGAGCTGCCACCTGCTCTGCCCGCTCCTTTTTGCAGGCGTGGGCTCGGGGTTCCAGCAGCCCCTGCGCGACAGGACAGGACAAACAGGGCCATGGCAGAGCAATAGCAAGTGTTGGCTGCAGCCAAGGGTGGCCTCTGAGTGGAAAGCTCACAGAGGACCCGGTCTTGGCTGGCACTCGGCCACAGGGACGTCCGTAGGCCCCCTTTCTCTCGCCACCCCTCCGCTGGCATGAGCTGAGGTGGGGAAGCTGACCAGCAGCCCTTTCCTCCTGATCTAACTGTCAGCTCCGCCAATCCCTGCTCAGCATCATGGCAGCACCAGCTCCCGCGGGGGGACTGCCCCGTCCCACTGGACATGAACAGGACTGCGTGCCTGCCGACTGTCCTTTATACCAGTGGGGAGGGCCTCGGTTGCTAACCAGAAGGTCACATGTCCAGTGTCACTGCTCTGCTCACCCTGGGGGCCCTGCCTGCCCCTCCCCACGGCCTTGGGTTCTGGAGGCCATCTGAGCCGTCCTGAGCCCACTCTCAGGATCACAGGAAGCCCCTCCTGGTGACATCAGGGGTGGGTGGCGGGGCTGGGCAGCTGTGCTGAGGCAGGAGCGGGTAGCCTGTAGGGGCAGGTGTGGGGTGGGGTTTGCCTGGGCAAAGACCAGGCCTTGCCCCGGGTTTCCCAGAGGCGGGCCCTGCAGGTCAGCAGGACCGTCTGGTGCGGCCTCCCCTTTGGGTTCCTGCCCCCACACACACACACCACGCTGCCCAGAGCTGCCGAGACCTTCCTCGCTGTGGCCTGGCCGATGATGCACAGAGGGTGGGCCCGGGGGGAGCATTTCCATCTTTTCCTTTTTAAACGTTTTCTAATGCTGACGGCACCGCACGACGCCCAGGCAGGCAGGGCCAGCTCAGCAGTTTCCACGGAGCTCCCAGGGGACAGCAGCCGGCTTCCTGTGGGGCGGGCTCCTCCCCTCCCTTCCCCACCTCTTCTTCTTCCCCCTCCTCCCCTCCCCATTTCTTCTCTTTTCCTTTCCCTCATCCCTCAGTGCTCCATCTTCTCCTACTCCTCCTCCCTTCCCCCTATTTCCCCTCCCCCTTTCTCAGCCATGCTCTCCCCCCCACCCATAATGAGAAAACCATGTCCCTGCCGTGGGTGCTCCCACTGACTGTGACTCTGATCACTGACTGATTCACGGCGCGGGCCCTGCAGGACAGGGTGCAACCTCCCTGTAGGTGTCCCTGCAGGACATCTCTCTCCAGATGCTCCCCTGAGTGGACAGGAGGCCCCACTGTGCTCGTCCATCATCTGCTGTGGACACAGGCTGTCCCCACCAGCTCCTGTGACCAGCACCCACAGCGAGTGTCCAGCCCCAGCGCATGTGGAGCTTCAGCTGGGTGCTCCCTGAGCACAGTACAAACTGCCCAGACAAGCCCCCAGGCATGTCCCAGGCAGCCTGCTCCCGCCCTGCCTCGAGGTCTAACAGCAGTTTAAAGGGCTGGGGAGGGGCCTGGTGGACCATTGGTTACAAGTTGCACTACCAGCCTCAAGGTCAGCAGTTCAAAACCCCCAGCTTCTCCATGGAAGGAAGACGAGGCTCTGTACTCCTATAAGGAGGTGCAGGCTCAGAAACCCACCAAACCCCCAACTCGCTGCTGTTGTGTCAATGCTGACCGATGGCAGTGGCCCCTGTGGGCTTGCCAGACTCACTGCTGACGGGAGTGGAAAGCCCAGCCTGTCGCCCTCCAAGCTGTGGCTGGTGGTTTTGAACTGCCGACCACGTGGTTCATCTCGGCCCTACAGGGTCGCTGCTGGGAGTCGGAATCCACTTGGCAGCAGTGAGTGAGGCTTGGGCAGCTAGCTGCAAGGCCAACAGTTTGCAATTACTCAGGAGAAAGAGGAGCTGTCTGATCCCAGAAGAGCCACAGCCTCTGAGCCCCAGGGCGGGGTCGCTGGGGCGACTGACTGCACGGCAGGGGGTTCGTTTTGGTTAATGTCCTGGCTGGGGCATCTGGTGGCCCCGCCTGTGTTCCCAGTGAGGGTCTTGGCCTGCACATGGTTTGGGCAGCTGGTGGTCCCTGGTCCTCTCCCCTATGCCATCTCCCAGGGCAGCAGGGAGTCCATGAAACCTCTGTCAGGACTACCGCCTGTCCTGCACAAAGCTTCTGTCCCCTGGGGCGTGGGGGGGAGGGGCTGTGTCCCAGGCCATCTGTCCCACCGGCTGTCTGGCCGAGCAGCTGATGACTGCGGGACAGTCTGCAGTCAAATGTCCACAGCCTGAGGGGCTGGTGAGCACTGGGCTGGGCCTGGGCCGGCTCCTTGCCCTGTCTGTCTTGCTCCCCTGGGCTGTCGCTCTGAGCGCTCTCAGGCTGCTCCCCAGCACAGTGACCCCCTGGGACAGCAGAGCCTGCTGTCCCACAAGGCTGCGGGGTGTTTGGAGCTCGACCTGGCAGTGAGCAGCAGGTGGATCCCAAATAAAGGACCACCACGGGCAGGGGATACACTGCGGGGGGGTGGGGGGTGTGTCGATCTGTGCCTCAGCCAGGAGAGGGAGAGACCGGTCTACAGGGCTGGCTGCTGCCTCTGAGCTCAGCCTCGGGTGTGTGTGTGTGTGTGTGTGTGTGTGTGTGTGTGACGGGGGACCCAACTCCACCTGGACTCTCTGCCTCTGGTTGCCAAGGGTCTAGCCACTGGTCCCTGCAGCTGGGTTGGTATGAGGGTCAGCATAGCGGGGGGGCGGTGTTCAGGGGCAGTTGAGCGGTGGAGCCCTCAGGCCCCCTGGCCTCCCCCTGCTCATCCTAATTTAGGGAGCATTTTGTTTTATTTTTTTGTTTTTTTAATCGTTTTATTAGGGGCTATAGGAAGCAGTTTAAATAGCAAACATGCTGAGTTGCATTCCCACCCACCCCCCCCCTTTGCTCGTGTACATCTTCATCTTGAGCTCTGTTGAGCACAGTTGACCCCCCTCCCCCAGCTCCTGCGGGGACACAGAGGTGTCCTCTCAGCCACAGGTGCAGGCACCCCGGGCCATCCTCTCCTTGGCCCTGAGAGAGATGAGGGTCCAGAGACACCCTCAGTTTCCCGGGACCCCGAGGGGCACCTCCTCCATGTGGGGCGTGTGCGTCACCGTCTCTGTCCCTTGCTGTATCTTACTCTGTATTCGTGCCTGTGTCTGAGCTTCCTCTCTGGCCGCAGATCGGGGACGCGTCCACAC